ACAAAAATAAAATAAAATTAAATTAAATTAAAATAAAATAAATAAAATAAATAAAATAAAATAAAATAAAAAATAAATAAATAAAATAAGAAAAACAAAACAAAACAACCCACAAAGAATTCATGGCTTTTTTCCTAGGATTCTTTAGTCTTTCAAAGTTAACTTTTTTTCTTTCCTTTTCAACCAATTTCTTATTTTATCGACTTTTTTTAAATCTTAATTTTCATTTTTACAGTTATAGGCTATCCCTTCATTGTATTTAGTCTGATTTTTGTTTATAAGTTTTTCTTTCTTTACAATTTTGGGATGCAGTTTTCTTCTAACAGACCAAAATACACCCAAAATCTAGTGTATGACTCTGTTCTATTCATCTGTCTGATCATATTCTCTTTTTTGTTTTTTCTTCCTCCTTTTGTTTTTGTTTTGTTTTGTTAAAATCTTTTTGAATTTTCATCTTTACAGTTACATTCTATCCTTTCAATGTACTTAATTTTATTTTTGTATATATACATTTTTCTTTCTTTACTATTTTAAGATATAGTTTCTTCTAACAAATTGACAAAAACCACTCAGGAGATAGTGTATTGCTCTGTTCAGTTCACCTGTTTGTTTATATCCCTTCCTTTTTGTTGTTGTTGGATTTTTTTCCTCTTTTGTTTTTTCTTGCCTTTTAATTTCAATTTTTAGTTACATTCTATTCTTTCATTGTATTTAATTTTATTTTTGTACATATATAAGTTTTTCTTCTTTACAATTTTGGGATCTAGTTTTCTAAAAAACAGACCAAAATACATACATAATCCAGTGTATTGCTCTATTCTGCTCACCTGTCTGATTATATTCTTTTTTTTTCTTTAATTTTTTTTCCTGGTTTCGGGTCTCTCCTGATTTGTTTAGTGTATTATTTCTCTGGGGTTGTTGTTGCCATTTTATTTTGTTCTCTCATTCATCTGTTGTTCTCTGGACAGAATGACAAGATAGAAAAACTCACCTCAAAAAAGAGAACAAGAGGCAGTACTGACTGCCAGGGACCTAATCAGTATGGATATAAGTCAGATATCGGAACTAGAGTTCAGAATAACGATTATAAAGATACTACCTGGGCTTGAAAAAAGCATAGAAGACACTAGAGAATCCCTTTGTGGAGAAATAAAAGAACTAAAATCTAACCAAGTTGAAATCAAAAAGGCTATTAATG